TTTATCGTTTACATTATCAAAATTTTTGTTGACATACTTGTAACTTTGAAGAAAAAAAATTTAACTTCAAATAAATATCAAAAAAATATGGTAATCGGCAAAGTATTGTAAATTACTGCAAAAAACAACCCCGTTTTTTTTTTTTTTTTTTTTTTTGCGCCCGAAGCAATTAAAGGGCTACCCTGTACGTAGGGAGGCGGAAAATGCATTACGCATACCACGATAGCCGGTCTATCGTGGTTATGGGGGACTCACTGTCCTACCGGGGACCCTAAGTGATACCCCTAAAAACCGCCTTTAGGGACAGGCAACCGGCTGATTAAGCTCTATTGTGCCTTATCATGAGCGACCCTCTTTTGGGAAAAGAGGGCGCAGGCGGCTAAGTGCCGCTGAGGGAGTGCCTACGAAGGCAAATTAATGTCAGATATTACAATAATTTTATTTAATTAGAGTTGGCCTGAGCCGCCAGGAGACAGTTCAGGTCGTTTGAAAGTTTATTAGGCGGGTCCGAGAGAGTTTCTCGGCCTGCGGACACGATAGCGAGAGGGGGGTGGGGCTGCATAAGAAGCTGCCTCACGAATTAAATGGTTTGGGTGCGACTCTGAGGCTTTGAAGAAGTTCTCAGAGAGTTTTTTAAGAAATTGTTGAATTGTTGGGAGCTCTAAGTCCCGATGAAGGTCGGCATTACGAACGTACCACGGTGCGTTCGCAGCTCGACGACAGAATAGGTTCTGAACTATTTGGAGTTCATTTAAAATGTTAGGGTTTGCGTGGGCAAAGACGGGGCCCGCGTAGGAACAACCCCGTTCACCCTTTTTATTTTTATACTAGATCGACAGATTTTGAGTTAAGCTACAATACAACATAAAGTTTACAACTGTATCTTTATTACTTTAAGAATTATTGTTGTTTGAACATAGCATATACGCAAACACAAAAGGCCTTTGTTAAGTGACAACTTCCACTACCTGCCTAGGAGTAATAGTAATCTGAGATTACTTATGATCTTCGATGAATTAGAGATGATGAATTAGAGATCAGAGAATCAGAATCATCATTTATAAGTAATATAATTTGAGAGCAGGCAGCACAGAACACTATTACTCCTAGGCAGGCAGTGCCAGTTGTCACTTAACAAAGGCCTTTTGTGTTTGGGCATACGCCATGTTTTTTTTTTTTAAATCTTTATTTAAGAGCTTAATCAAAATGCGATTATGTCGCTCTATTTGACATCATTTAGAACTAAATAACATTCCATTTAGCAAGCAAACAAAAATGAAAATGAAAACAAGTACTATCTAATTGAGTGATCTGAGGAAAATATTATGTTATATAATTTAGTCAATAATTTTGTTTCATCGGAATGAGGATTGGATAAAATAATGTTACAATCAGCAAATTCCTTTAAAATATTTTTACACTTAGCTATTCGAAAGGCAGCATTGCGGGCACACTCCCTCAAGACATGCATTAAGTCCTCGGGGACACCGCATTGTTCACAGTTCGGTGACGGGACTTTATTCATAAGAAAAGCAAAATTCTTGCATGGAATGTGTCCAGAACGTAGCCTCATAATCACTACTGCGTCCTTTCTTGGTGATATGTGACTATCAATCCATGGAATTCTGAGAGGATGTGGCTGAACCGTTTTATACCAGATACCTTTTTCTTTAGAGCGTAAATCAAAATATTCCTTCCATAATTTGTAGCATTGTGTTTTGATTAACCAAATGCAATCTGTATAATAAGGGAGTACATTATATTCAATTCCCTCAGTAATAGCTTGTCTAGCCAAGACGTCTACCCTTTCATTATATTCAACGCCACAGTGTGACGGAATCCACTGTAACTTTATAGAGTTAGAATTGGAGGTCAGATTTAAAATACAGTCCAGGACTGAGTAGGCTATCGGAGTGCCTCGTAGGCCCGAGGTGCACCGAGCCAAGTGTTGGAGTGCGCTTTTAGAGTCTGTGAATATCACTATATGGTCTTGTGGTAGCGATATTGCGTAAGACAAAGCCTCACAGATTGCTATTAGTTCCGCCTCCATAATGCATATTATGTCACTGTCTATTTTTAATTGTAGACTAATGTTGCATTGTGGGTCATAAAATGCTGAACCAATTCCACTCCCATCCTTAGATCCATCAGTATAGAGTTTATAATAGTTTTTATATCGCTGGTTAATAAAATCCAAGCATAATAACTTTAAATTAAAATTACTGTAGCTTCGCTTTTTTTTAACAAGATTCGGGATATTACAGTGAATTACATCATCCAAATCTATGTTGGTAACCCAGGTATTCATAGAAAACATTTCTAGTTGTCGGCTGGCATGAATATAAACATTAGAAAGACAATCAAACATAGTTAACAATAGTGGCTTCTTTTTATTCCGCCAATATCTGTTGTCTTTATATGTCGATAATTCTCGTCCCTGGTTTTTTTGGGTTTTAATATTTTAATTGTAATATTGTTTTCTCGTGACCTAGCTTTTAATATAAATTTACCTCCTAAATACGTTCTCCGTACGTGCAATGGAGGGAGACCAAGTTCGCTCTCCATTGCATGTATAGGAGTTGTTTTAATAAAACCTCCCATTACTCTCAGCGCTTGATTTTGCACTATATCTAGCTTACTTACATAATTTTGACAGCTGTTGTCGTATAAAAAACTTCCGTAATCAAATCTACTCCTTATAATAGCAATATATAACCTTTTCAAATGTTTAGGGTGTATTCCCCACCCTGTCCCAGCAAGAACTTTAAAAATATTTAAGTATCTAGAAGTTTCATCAACTAACTCAGTAATGTGTTTATTCCATTTTAAAGAGCGGTCCAACCACATCCCCAAATACTTTACAGCACTGACTACCTCTATTACATTATTATTAATATTTAGCGATATCTGTTGTCTATTGATGCCTTTCTTGAAGACATTTTGTTTTGGTTGTTGAAATGTCCAAACCCAGATCAATAAGCATGTTGCTTATTTTATTCAATGCTATTTGCAGTTCTTCGGATGCGTCGTTGACATTTTTACTAGTCAAATATAAAGCGTAATCGTCAGCATATTGAGAAATCATAACATTAGAAACTTGTTTACATATATGGAGAGTAGCAATATTAAATAATATAGGTGAGAGAGAGTCTCCTTGGGCCAGGCCACGACCTGTAGATCTACAGATTATTTTTTTATCAACTTTTATGCTTAGTTGTCTTTCCTTTAAAAATGGCCATAAGTATTTACAGATTTTTGCACCAGCGCCTAGGCGATCTAAATTTAAAAGTAAGGCTCTAATATCCACGTTGTTATAAGCGTTTTCAATGTCAGTGAAGCATCCTACCGTTAATTGATCTTTCGAAAATCCCAGCTGAATTCTAGAAACTAAATTGCTAAGGTTATCAAGACAAGACTTGGTTTTTCTAAACCCGGTGGTCTCTTCGTGAAAGAGGTTTCTTTTCTCGACTAACCACTCTAATCTATTTTTCAACATAGAGTGTAATATTTTACATAAACAAGACATGAGAGAGATTGGTCTTAAAGCTGCTATTGAAGATGGATCCCGACCTGGTTTAGATATAGGTATAACAAGAATTTCACGCCATTGCGAGGGGACAAAACTGAGAGTGTAAAATAAATTGTAAAGATTAAGTAAAATATTTGTAGCGTTATCCGGTAAATATTTAATCATTGAGTACGAAATATTGTCGACTCCGGGTGAAGTATCTTTTGCTTTAACGCATCTTTTTTAGTTCACATAATGAAAATGGAGCCTCAAGTTTTATATTACAAGATGAAAAAATGGGGTACTTTGGACAGACAAAATCTGGTGTTAAATTATGTAAAAGCTTATTAGCCGTTACTTCGTCAATAAAAGTATTAGATGATCTATAACCCTTTAACCACTTCATCTTGCGCCACATTTCTGTTACAGAAGTAGCCTCATCAATTGAAGAACAAAAATTAGAGAATGATTTGTTTTTAGCCTGTCGTAGTAATAATTGTGAAATTCTGATTTTATCTTTCAATTTGTTCAAATTACCAGGGGTGGGATTCTTTCGAAACAACGTAAGTGCTAGCCGTCTTTCTGCAACAGCTTTTGATAGCTTAGGATTCCAATAGTGTTTGGGAGTAAAATGTTGAGAGGGGTCTTGGCTAAATCTATACAAAGGAATGTGAACATCAGCGGCTTCGTTAATTATGCTAAGGAACGAATCGTAACTTGTTTGCGGGTCATCAACAAGCAGGTTATAATTTGAGAGATTATCTTTAATATACTTACGATAACCATCCCAGTTAGCATTTTTAAAGTTTCTCCTCTGAATAAATGGCGAGTTATTGTTACTATAAGAAATATAAATCTTAATAATTAAGTGGTCACTACCTAATGTCTCATTAGTTACCTTCCAGTTCAAGTGCAAGGCTATGTCCGAAGATGCAAAGAAAATAGAAAGACAATTTCCCGTTGACAAATTTAACACGCGTAGCTCGACTATCATTCAATGAAACAAAATTATTTTCTAACAAAGAATCAAAAATATTGCTACCTCTCAAATCAGTCTTACAAGACCAGCTGGAATGGTGGCCGTTAAAGTCACCAAGTACAAGTGTTTTACTCGTCTTAAACGAAAATATTTCATCCCAGTCACTTTGAGAAGTTCGTATAGTTGGTGGGCAGTAGATAGAAAATATGTAATCAATATATTTACAGTTGAAAACTTTTACACAAATTACTTCAATACTAGGATTTGAAAAATGAACAGGGATTAGTTGCGCCTTAACGGATTTGTGGGCTATGATAGCGACACCTCCATACGAGTCTTCTCGATCGTGACGGAAAACATTATAACCACTTATTCTAAAAGTAACCTCACTATTTAACCATGTTTCGCATATAGCAGCTATATGAATTTTTTCACTATTTAATAACTGCTCAAATTCTACATATTTAGGCTTAACACTTTGTGAATTCCACTGGAGAAGGTTTATTTGGGAGCTTATACCCATAACTTACCGAGTATTTTTTTAAAAGGAAGGTCCCAGATATATTCCCCCACTATCGATACCAACCATTCAATGCATAGTGACACTCCTTGAATTATTCTACTCTTTAAATCTTCTTGTGAGTTAGAAATTAATGCATATAATTTTGCAAGCAATTGCTTCAAATTTAAACTAGATCTGCATTTCTCTTTTCTCTCATTTCTCAACCGAATTTCATTTTCCGACTCATCGACTAAATTACTATTCATTGTTTCTGATTCCGAAGATACATCCCTGTTATACCCTTCATTTTGACTTTGTTTCTTTTTCTTATTCTTTTTCTTCTTGGGTCTCTGTTCTAATGATTGAGAAACATTCGTTGAGCCCGGTTGCTTAGGTTGTGATTGTCGAATGATACTATCACAACGCGGCGCTCGGGTCACGCTTGCATAGGAAATAACGTTTATGTCTTGTGACTGATAAGGTACGTGTTCAGGTACGGACTCGGGAAACACACTAAGGCTTGCCGGTGAAGTTAAATTAAATCGTTCTGAGCGCAGTGTAGGGGCGGGTTCTGGCGGAACATATACTTGCAACGCCTTCCTATAAGAGCAGTTAAACTCTGCCATCAATTCACGAATTCGTTTCTCTTTTTTTAAACGCAGGACACGAGTCTATCCAGGCATAAATGGTTTCCTGTACAATTCACACATTTATATGAGGTAGTCTCACAGTTAGCGTGACCCTTGCCACACTTAGGGCACACAACCTTTTTGCTTGGACAAACACGCAAGGAGTGCCCAAATCGCCAGCACCTGGAACACTGGGTAACTGGGAACACGTATGGGTCGACATTTATCTTCATGCCGTAGATGTAGACACACGTTGGTAGTGAGGGACCCTTGAACCCCAGACGTATTGACTCACTTTCTTCCCAGCCGTTACCGTCCTTATTCCTGCGTTTTAAACGTTTTACCGCTATCAGTTCACAATTGCTTGAAATAACTTCTAACATGTCTTTTTCACTCAAGTCCAATTCTACATTCTTAATAACGCCGTAAGATATAACAACTTCGAGTGGTTTTTGGCATCTCCATCCTAAATCTTGCAAAGGTTTGCAATTGATCAACTCCTCAGCACTTTCTGCATTTTCAAACTGTATGAACACTTTATAGGGGTTTATATATTTTACCCGGCTAACACTACTAATGTTATTTGACCTTAATAATTTAGCAAGCGCGAATTGCTTCGGTAGCTTTTCGGAATTATTAATGTACACATCAACCTTCTGTCCCACTCTCTTTCCATTTCTTCCTACCGCTATCCACTCTTCTTCCTCATCCTCCTCCCGCGGTCTCTTATTACGAATAACTCTAGAACTAGAGTCCTCAAGCATTTCTTCCTCTCGTTGTGTAGTATTCTTCTCCACTAAACAAATCTCCGACTCCTCAACATTACTTATCCCGGGTAGAATATTATTAATCACATTATCTTCTTGAATTATATCTTCCTCCATGTTAAATAAGGTACACTATCGTATGCGTCTATTCACCATTGCACGATGTGTGTAGTTATGTACACAATAGCGCGAAATATTTCCGGAGATAAGACTGCTCAGCGAGAAAAAAACAACGCGAGTATAGCGGACAAGTGCCCACATCGAACTGCGTACGCCATGTTTAAACAACAATAATTTTTAAAGTAATAAACATACAACTGTAAGCTTTATGTTGCATTGGAGCCTCAAAATCTGTCGATCTAGTATAAAAATAAAAAGGGTGAACGGGGTTGTTTTTGCAGTAATTTACAATAATTTGCCGATTAGCATATTTTTTTGATATTTATTTGAAGTAAAATTTTTTTTCTTCAAAGTTACAAGTATGTCAACAAAAATTTTGATAATGTAAACGATAAACAATATTATTGGCCTCCGAATGAGTTAATTTTTTATCTCAGTAAGACTAAAACTTTCAGATATATGACTTTTTCGTAAACGCGTAGAGAATATCTCAAGAGAAAAACAAAATAGCTGCCAAATAGAGGGGGAGGGGATTAGACCTCAGTGTGTAGTGTATTTTTATATTAAAATAGCTGTATTATAAGTACCTAAAATATCGCTAGTCCGTGACCGGACACACTGTATATATAAACACGCCACATTACGGCCCTGTCTTTATTCTATATTGTTCAAAGAATGAAGGTTAGAGAACAGGAGAACGAACGCTGTAGAAAATAGTGTCCAAGAAATATAGACAAAATAAGTGAGGCGCTGCGATCGCTTAGTTGTCTCAATAAAAGCGGGCTCTTGTGCGCTAGTTTGAAATGATTATAAAATCATTCAAAGAAAAAAACTAAATTATTATTATTATTTATTAATAAATAAATAAATTATGCTTTCTATAATTTTAATTATTATAAATATTACAAATTATTACAAATATAAATTATTAACTATTTATTGTTATTATTATTTTATTTATATTTCACCACTTTTAAATATTTCTTTTTGTCAAAAATTAAAAAATTACTTCGCAGATACTATTTACCGATGGCAGCTATAAATTCTACAAATTTTCAGGGACAGGCGGGCTATGCTTTAGCACGTAGCGATAGTTCTCCTGTTCTCTAACATCCATGGTTCAAAACTTAAAATAAAAAACGAACAGAGTCTACCGTAGACAGATTCTCTGTCTACGGAGTTCACTTTTAAATTTATAAGCGAGTCGCGACTTCTTACTAAATAGCATAATATAAGAAAAATAGTATAGGTAGTCTTTGTACACACACAACACTGTTTATAAAAATCTATTGTTGTGTTACAGAAATAGGATATAATTATAGTACGTTTCTAGAGCAGACGGAAAAAAGTACATTGACCTCAACTATTATGTTAGCATCGAAACAAAATGACAGTTATTGCTTCCATCATCAATTTCTTCATAGATTACGTATCGTTATGCGCTAAGCGTGTCTCATGGTACGGGGTAGGGTGAATAAAGCGGTCATTCAGAGATAATAAACCTGTTTCGACGCGATTTGCGATAGGTCTCACGCTGCTTTTGGGATGCGCTTGCGTGTAGATAGTTCGAGATTTAAAATTTTCGGTTATAATACTTAGTTGTTTTCATTTTTATTAAGTTTGTTTTGTTAGTTGTACGTTTTTGTTATTATTTTGTGACGTTTTGCATATTATCACTAGTATGAAATCGTGTCCATCGACATGAAAATCTCATAAAGACTTTTCGTCACCACGGAAGAAGCGGAAAGTTTCGCATATTTCGGAAACCGAAAAAATAATGATTGTAAACGTCTATAAATATGTAAAAGAAACGTGGTCTAGTGACAGTGAAAATGCCGATATTTAAGGTTATAATCAATATGACGGACTCTTCTACGTCTTCCTCATCATAAAATGATTCTGAAATAGATACAGATGAATAGTCTGTCAAGTGTCTGTGACAATCTATTATCAGAAGTTTTATGCATGCTTCAAGGTTGGCTGCTTAAGAATGCTTAGCATTAAAAGTTCGTTTTTTACCTGACTGCCAAGAAGTGGTTATGTTTTATACAACTACCTACCTACTTATTAAAGTACTTAACTACTATTAACGTAGATATAAAAATTGTAATAACTCATGATTTATAAATAATGAACTTAAATTAATATTAATTTGCTTTTTAATTCATTTAGGTACAGGATAAACTTCTTTCTTTATTATATAATTATAGACATAGGGCCTGTAAAGAACTTCGCACTCGGTACCCTTATCTTTCACTCTGATGATGTATGTAATGATAAAAGGGTAAAAAATGAACCTAAACAAAAAAGATTGCCTACCCCGATGATATCGTCAAAGGTCAATGTACTTTTTTCCGCCTACCCTAGAAACGTACTATATAAATTAGTATGTAAGAGGTAGTCTGAAAGTAGCGCAGACTGGAAATTAGTGGTCATATGGTAAAAACATGTGATGCGGAAGATTGAGGAATACGTTGGTATGTAGGATAATTAAAAAAAGAATATATCCAATTAAATGATTCATGTATTGTGTGAAAGAGTTGCTAAGTTGCTAAGTTAGAAAGGGGCTGCTCAACTCGATTAGTTTACGGAGATAAAAAAATAAATAATCTTTATTATTGTTACGAGCTTGAGGTTCGTGACAATAAAAACTGCCGATTGGATTACCAAAATTAACTCTTTAATTCACTTTACACTAATTAAAACTTAGAACACTAATAATTAATCACACTGATTCACTTTATTTCGCTCCGAAGCTTCGCTTGTCTCGCCGAATTCAATGCTTCCTCGATCACATCTTGCAGCGCCTTTAAATACACATTATCAACGAAACATCCAGAATATTCAAGTAAATACGCGCACCAATCGACAAGGCGTCGAAAGTTCGAGTGTCGGGCTTCTAGAAGCTTAGTTCTTCGTTTCGATACTAGATGGCGCTGTCGGTTGAAAGATTAGTGATGTCATTTTCTGGAAAGCTCCCATCGCTCTCGTCCCCGACAATAGATGGCGCTAGTGCCGGGTACATGACGTCAACTTAGGCGCGCAACACTGCCCCCTTCTAAGACATGCTCGTCCCGAGCATTATCGGCCCCATAATAACGCACCAAGCGATCCTCATGGACGATCTTAGGAGTCCCTCTTGCGCCTTTCTGTATCCGGTAGGTTACATCGTTGATCCTGGTCACAATCCGGTACGGGCCGTCCCATTTAGCTTGAAGCTTATCCCGGTGATCAGGTCTGCCGGCAGCCGTAATTCTCTTCCAATGTTTGCGAAAGCTGGTGTCACTGATGTACTTTCGTGAACAGCGCTTCGATATGACAACAAAAACGGTTGTATGTGCTTGTCCCAATCTCGTTGCCGATTGTCTACAACTTTTGCTAGGTACCTCTCCAAAATAAATCGTTCTTCTACCATTCCATAAGATTGCGGGTGATAAGAAGTCGTTCTTGTTTTATGAGTACCCATAACTCGGCAAGTTTCCTGGAATATTTGAGACTCAAAATTCCTTCCTTGATCGCTGTGAATCTCTAAAGGTACTCCAAAACGACAGAGGACTTCATGAACTAGTTTATCTGCAACTGTTGAAGCTTCTTGATTTGGAATGGCGAAGACTTCTGGCCACTTAGTGAAGTAATCCATCACAACCATGAAATACTTGTTACCGCTTTCACTCTCTGGAAACGGCCCCGCCACGTCAATGGCTATTCTCTCCCATGGTGCACCAACAGTCACTTCAATGCTCCTCTACTACGAGTCTGAGGTCCCTTTACAGCCGCACTACTTGTAAGTATTACAACTGTAATAGCCATTTTAGTGCAGCATGGTCAGTTCGTAAGTGAAATTTCCGCCTCAGTAGATATTTGCTAAAATGCTGCAACGACTTTACCACAGCTAGCAATTCGCGTCTTGTGACACAATAGTTTCTTTCCGGTTTTGACAACGACTTGCTGAAGTACGCTATCACAACCTCTCGATCACCGTTCCGTTGAGACAACACACCGCCGAGTCCGGTATCACTTGCGTCTGTGTCAACTATAAATTCTTTGCTTGCATCAGGGTATCCCAAAATATGTGTTTTGCACAGACGGTCCTTGAGCTCCCATAATGCAATATTGCAACTTTCATCCCAGCAGAAGTGTCGCTTCTCCTCGGTTAGCTTATGCAGAGGTTTGGCTATATCTGCAAAGTTCTTCACAAATCGCCGGTAATAGGAGCACAAACCCAAAAATGCTCTAACCTGCGTCTTGTCTTTTGGAACCGGCCAATCCTTGACACCAGCGATTTTCTCTGGATCCGTGCGGATACCTTCTTCCGATACTACATACCCCAAAAAGTTAACTTGCCGTTTGAAAAGTGAACATTTCTTCGGACTCAACTTGAGGTTGGCACTCTGAATCTTCATGAGCACGCGTTGTAGGTTTTGAAGGTGTTCCTCAAACGTACGGCCTACGATAATGATGTCATCCAAGTAGACCAGACAGGCATCGCCAATTAGCCCGGTAAGTACGAGTTCCATCAGCCTTTCAAACGTTGCTGGAGCATTGCACAACCCAAACGGCATTACTTTAAATTGCCACAGACCCTTTCCCGTTGAGAACGCAGTTTTCTCCTTGTCCTTAGGGTCAATTTCAACTTGCCAGTAGCCACTTTTTAGATCCAGCGTGCTAAACCACTTTACTCCTGTAAGCATGTCCAGCGTGTCATCAATTCTTGGCAAGGGATAGCTGTTCTTCTTCGTAACGTCGTTCAGACGGCGGTAGTCAACACAAAACCGCATGCTGCCATCCTTCTTCTTTGCCTTTATTTTGTGTTAAACTAAGCCAGTTTTTCCTATTTCAGCATCGTTTGATGAGAATACATCGGCATACTTGAGTAACAACTTCTTCGCCTTGACCATTTCGGTCGGGGAGAGAACGCTGCGACAGTCTTTCAAAAGTGTGGTCACTCTCGTTTGTGCATCCTTGCTGGGGATCTCACTCGATAGATATTGGCACCG